TCACCATCTAAGCTTTTAGTTTTCTTTCTAAAATCTTAGAGAATTCACTCTAATCAGAAAACAGTTTTTTTATATTCTTTTACTTGTGCCAAAGCTTAAAATCTAAACTATATTACTTTATAAAGATGGAAAATAAACCTCACAAGTAAAATAATACCAATATCACCTCATAATATCACTAAAGTTTTTTTTTTTTTAGAAATGTAAAATCAGTATTTTTAAAATCAAGGGATTTTTCAGGCCAAGTCTAGGGAATTTCTGATCTACACATGTGAGAGTGCTAGGTTTGACAGTTCCAAGCCGGTCATTTTAAGGTAGAATGCTGGTGAGAAATGTTGCGTTTCCAGTGTTATGTTGATTCTGGGTTAATCTTAAGATTATACAGTGGCAACAAAGAAGAAATAGACTTTAGTAACCATCCCAGTTTAGTATCTGAGCCCATATGCTGGTAAAAGTGATTAAGACCCATGGGAAATTTTTCTTTGTTTTGGTATACCTATATCATAAAGGTTTTTATTGATATCAAAGATAAAAGTATATAGATTTTGATTAATATAATGAATATTATTCAATTATGCTTCAACCATGTAGAGTCAAACTTCATACAATAGCCTAAAATTGTTTTTAAAATTTTGAATGAGTTTTTTTTTTTATCATATCTGAACTAGATATGTATTCTGAAATTCATAGTTATCAAGTGTGTTTGGTATTGTAGATTTCAAATATATATGTATATATATATATATATATATATATATATATATATATATATATATATATATATATATATATTTATATATGTATATATATATACACACACATTTAACAGGATCATGTAAAAGGTGTGTCAAATAAGTGAAAGATGTTTGATAATGTGTATATATATAGATAATATAGATATTATATATATATATATATATATATATATAATATATAATATAATATATATATATTATATATATATATATAATATATATATATATATAATATATATATATATATTAGTGTATTAGTAAACATGTAAACCAATCTAGGTTTATTATAACAGGTTTGTACATTATCTTAATATTTATCTTTTCATTTAATGTTTCTTGTCATAATATCATGTCAAAGAATAGATTATTGATACTCAAGTCATCTTGCCACCCAAGATGACTTGGGAACAAATTTCATAAGTAACATAATATTCACTGTAAAATGCAAATTATACACACAATCATGTATTGTTTGTGTTTGTATACAGGTAGATTTATTGTAGCTGCATCAATGTTGATTGATGCATCACTCCTTACCCATTTTCTTTCTTTCACAGCTGTGAATGATATCAACTGCCACCATGGATGATTCAAGCTCCATTATAAAAATGCATAGCACTATCTCATTCTGTGTTTTGAAGGAGGAGAAAGTTGAAGACATCAGTGAGGAGGATTTCCAAGCAATAAAAGAAGAAATTAATGATGTAGATGAGAATGATGTCAACATAAGAAAAGTAGATGAGAGTCCAGTGTGTGAGGAAGACAGAAGTCCTAGAGAAAAAGTAATTGAAAAAAACTCAAATAAAACTTTGAATATGAATATAGAGGATGATAATGCTATCTATATAATGGCAGGAGGTGAGGTAGATACAAACAATGAAAATGCAGTGTCTGACAAATTCAAAAGTCTAGGCGAAAAAACAGACACGTTTATGTGTGAAGATGGAGATCCTTTGGCATCATCCGTGCCTTGTGTAGCTGAGGCTCGTAGGAAAAAGAAATCATCGCTTACTGCCAAAAGGACACGTAAGAAAGGTGACAAAAAGGTGAACCGCAACAGAAAGGAAGCAAAAGAGAAACATTTCACTTGTGAAATATGTCCCAAGAAGTTTTCTTTTAAAAGTGAGATTTTACTCCACATGAGAGTACATACAAAGGAGAAGCCATTTAGTTGTGAGATTTGCAGTAAGTCATTTACTAAGAAAAGTACTCTTCTCCAACATGCGAGAATACATACACATGAGAAACCTTTTAGTTGTAAGTTATGTAACAAAAAATTTAGTCAGAAAGGTAATCTAGATACACACACGAGATTTCATACGACTGAGAAACCTTATAGTTGTAGAATATGCAGTATGGCTTTCTCTGTAAAAAGTCAACTGGTATGCCACATTCGAGTACATACTAAAGAAAAGCCTTTTATTTGTGATGTATGTAATAAGTTTTTCACATGGAAAAGTGATCTAGATAGGCATCTGAGAGTACATACAAAAGTGAAGCCTTTTACTTGCGGTATATGTGATAAGTCCTTTGCATGGAAGAGTGATCTAAAGAGGCATCTGAGAGTACATACAAAAGAAACACCATATATTTAACATCATCTAAGGAGTAGACGAGTAAAGAAAAACATTATTTCTACAACATTTTTAACAGGACATTCTCAGATGGCATTGCTTAAGTTTTGCACAAAAGAGTACATTCTAGTGCTTTTCTCTTAAAAAGTATTTAAATGAGAAACCTCAGAGTGCACACAAGAGAGAAACGGGAAAATTTCAGTGAACTGCAGTAAAACAGAAAAAATAGACATAGAAAATGTAGAAGCTATGACAAATGAAAAGAATACAATGGTGTTTTATATATAAGTAATGAAAAAAGGATAAGGAGCTATCATCAGTACCACATAAAAGGTTATTAGAAACAAAGGAGCTACTCTAATTACTTAAAATCCTTTTTGCAAAATATACTCTAAGTATGATGACAACATTAATGATAATAATTATAGATAAATGTATACATAACATAGATGAATGACCACTATTTGGCGATTGGGTGAAATTATTGGTTGTGAATTAGAATACTTATGAGGTTCACGCCAGACATTATCTAACTTTTATTCAGACGTGTTTACAATCTTAGTTTAATGAGATGTATATCAGTTTGCATACCTTTTAATGAACCTAAGATAAGTTCTTTGTGAATTGTTTATTTCCGGAAATAGACACAAACACACACACTATCCATATATATATATATATATATATATATATATATATATATATATATATATATATATATTATATATATATGTGTAGATATGTAAATCTATATAGATAGATATAGATAAAAATATAATGTATTTATTTATATACATATAAGTATGTATGTATATGTATATATATATATATATATATATGTATTTATATTTATATATAACTCTCACCTCCCCCTAGCTTTGCCTTTACTCCTCAGACACCAGTCTTCTCTCCCCCCCCCCTAAGAAAACCTTTGTCTCACAAAACCACTTCCTTTCTTGAAACCCAATAAATCGGGTACCCTCCCTCAAGATTACCGCCCCATCGCTCCAACTAGCTGCTTGTGCAAACTACTGGAACTAATGGTTAACTTCTGCTCAATGTGGTATCTTGAATCTCGCAATCTCCTCTCTCCTTCCCAGTTTGGTTCCCGCCGTGCTCGAAGTACAGCAGATCCCCTTGCTCATTTCGAGACATAAATTACATCTGCGTTTGCACGCCATGAATCCGTATTAGCCATATTCCTTGACTTAGAAAAAAAAAAAACATATGATACCACATGGCGGTACCATATTTTCCAACAGTTGTCCTCCCTAGGCATACATGGAAACATGGGTGTCTTCGTAAAGTAAAGTACTTCCCAGGTCAAAAGTGACTCTTCCTCATCATCCTTTCCTCAGTTCGAAGGCGTCCCACAAGGCAGTTTGTTCAGCACTACTTTATTCCTTGCTGTTAATGACATTCAGGCGCGATGCCACGGGGGGGGTGTGGTGCGACACCCCCCAAGGTCAAAATCGTCAGTTCACTCGGCAGAATGGGGAAAAAAATACAGTTTACTCGGCAAACTTGGTGGTCGGCATGATTTAAGAAATCAATGATCAGTTTTCATTTTCATTTCAATTTGGCCCTTTTCGAAACAAGATATTAAAAAGTATGAAGTGTGGATTTAATTTTTAAAATGTTACTTGGTAACTTTGCTCCCGACACCCCCCCCCCCCCCCAAAAAAAAAAAAAAAGTAGCGCCGCCGCCCCTGATGACATTGTCTCAGTTCTACCACCAGGAGGCCGGACATCACTATATGTTGATGATTTAACCGTCTATACCTCTGGCACATCCATACCAGATCTCCGCTAATTCCTTCAGTCTGCAATAACATCAGTATCTTCCTGGACCACTAACCACGGCTTTCGCTTTTCTACCTCCAAATCTTTCTCCATCCTTTTCTCTCGCTCACGTGTAGGTCCCTAATTTTCATTCTTCTTGTACGACGCTCCACTCCAGTACCGTTCCTCTGGCAAATTCCACGGCTTTATTTTTAACTCTAAATTGTCCTGGCGAGACGATATATTTTACATTAAAGAAAAACCTCAACGCCGCTTCCGAATCTTTCAAACTCTTTCCCACATATCTTGGGGCTCAGATCGCAAAGTTCTCCATCTTCATTTTACCTTGATCCTCTCCATTCTAGATTATGGAAGCCATATCTACTCCTCTGCCTCAACCTCCCTTCTTGCTCACCTAAGATAGAATCCACCACTGTGGTCTCCGCTTAACCTTAGTCGCCTTCCGCTCCTTTCCAGTTCATCATTACCAAAATCAGATACCCCCCCCCCCCCTTTATCCTTCTCACCCACTTCCTTGACCATGTCTCCATTCACTTCTCCAGCATTCATGTTTATACTGGTGGCTCCAAATCCACATTCCAGCCACGGATTATTATCCCCACTTTAAGACCTGTCTGTATATCCTATGACAATCTTTCTGGTCGTCTCCGAACTAATAAATTACAGACTGTAAAACTACCGATCTCCATTTGATAAGCTCCATTTCACCGGAACAGACGTTTGGAGACGGCTCTCGCACGCTTACGTATTGGCCACACCCGTCTAACACACGCCTACCTTATGTCACGCTCTGACCAGCGCCCATGTCCACTATGCAACGTCCCTCTTTCAGTTCCACACATTCTGTTGTCTTGTCCACGCCCGCACCTCTGCTTTTCCCCACCTATCCTCCCTTCACCGACCTCCCAACATATCAGACATCCTTACAGAACCCCACATTTTCTGCTTTGACATCCCGTTCTTCTTCCTCAGACGCATACATATCCTTCACTTGATCTAATTATCTTTCTCTAAACCACCATAACCCATTCACTCATCAACTCCTTTACCCATCTTTATCCTTTCAACATTAGTGTAGATAGTTGACGCATAGCAACTATCACCCGTCACCATCCTTTACTGTACCTTCCTATAGTGCTATGTGACCGTAGATGTCTAGCACATTTATTTTGCTTTTAACCATTAACCATTATATATATAATATATATATTTATTATTAATATATATTTACAGATATATGCATTTATTTTTATATATATATATATGCATTATTATATATATATATATATATTATTATATAATATATATATATATATATATAATATACACGTGTATATTAGTGTTTGTTATCAACATTTGTGAATTCATACTTTCTCTCTTATGGTCTGTTTGGCATTCGAGAAATAACGTTTCCAAGTTAGTTTTTTTTCCAAATTTCCGTCCATTTTTGTGAAATTGAGGATTTCTTTGTATATTGGAAACGTCCATTAAGTGAGATTATAGGAAAATAGGGGGGAAATGACCTGGAGATGAGGACTGTTTCTATTATTTCTGGAATTTCATTTTTATGGTAATATAACCTACTGTCGTGGGTTATGGGGGTACAATGCAACTATCACAGGTCATTATTAAGAAATTGTGATCAGGGTTTTATCATTATTATTATTTTTTTTTTTTTTTTTTTTTTTTTTAATAATATGCTGATAGTGAATCACTTGTGTTGCTAATGGTGTAGACGGACCAACACCATCTTCCGTCCGCCACGAGTTGGAGTTGTGGGGCGAATAAAATGGTATATTCAGTCCGTGTTTTATTTTCTGTTGATCATCTTTATACCACAACCTTTACACTGTACATTCAGCATTTGAGCGAAGTTATCACAGTATATTTCTGGGGAAATGCATACTGGCAGTCTGAAAACACTCTCTGGTCAGTCTTTCTTCTCATATTTACGCCCCAAAATCCGTGTTGTAATAAAGTGACAAGTACGGGATTCATGCCAGAACATCAAGTACACTTTTGTCATCCGATACGCTATGCTAACTTCTTTTGGGTTCCACTGGGATGTGCTGTGTAACCGTCTATCATGTGCAGAGGAGGGTCAGGCATGATCACAGGGTATTCCCAAGATCACATGGTATTTGTGATTCCCATGTACTGGACTGCTGACCGTCATGAATATGTGAGTGTGTGCATATATATAATATATATATATATATATATATATATATATATATATATATATATATATACGTGTGTGTATGTGTCTATCTATCTTTAATATATATGCATATACTTACATTATGTATTATGTATACATTTATATGTATCCCTACATATGTTATGATATATATATATATATATATATATATATATATATATATTATATACATATGTGTGTGTGTATGTATATGCATAATATATTTGCATGTATATGTATTTATATAATACCTGGTCCCGATTATGCAAATAAGGAGACGAGTATTGACAAACACACAAACCACATCTTGTGGCCAAGAACTCTTCCACTTATACACATACAAGATATAACACCCCTTCCTTTGTACGCACGCACATCCCTTGTATCTGTGTATTTGTATAAGGCTATAAAAAGAAAAAAATACAGTAAAATAAAACAAAAACATAAAATCAGGAGCCACCCGCAGCACGCCCAAAGGATTGCCTAATACACACCGCACACCATTAATTTCCTCAGCTCCGCCAGCCCCCATTTCGGCAGAAGGAAAACTAAAGTATATTATCACGGTCTGTCACTTTGCCCGCTCCATGCCCGCATAGTGGTCGTGGGATCTGCGCTGACGAATTGTGCACGGAGAGATTTCAGGGACAGAACATGTCGCAAACTTGCTACGGACTCTTGGCTCGGTTGCCTGTGATTATGGGAGTCCACTCGTCCAATTGCACAAGGCAGAAGAAGAGCAGGGTGGATATGGTCTACGGAAAAATGGAAAAAAAACAACAATCCTTTAAATAGATACATTCTCTTTCTTGTTCTGTCTGTTTCATTTTTTTTTTTTTTTTTTTTTTTTATATTCAACTTTATTTGTCTTTGTATTTTGCCCTGCTTTTACATATCCCAACTTCACCCTCTGATTTTGCTATGCCAATGTTAACAGCTTTTTACCTTTTTAGCTTTTAATCTTTTTGTTATGATCTATCGTTCACGTTACTTTTTATAACTTAATTTCTTTTATCTATCGCTTTTACTGTTTCCTTTCACCACTTTAATTTCCCTTGTTATATCATTTATTTGTTTTATTGCACTTCTCTACCTGTGCTCTCCTTTCGTCCATTTAGAAGTCAAACTAAGTAGGACGCAAAATAAAAAAATTCTGTACTTAATTTAT